TATATATATATAGTATTCTGTCCTTAAGCTCTTTGTTTTCTTGACCTCTAGTGGAAGTTATGGTAGCCCTACTCATTGGCATAATCTTAGTGTGAATATAATAGCCCAAAAGAAAATAGAAGAACAAATAAGAATCACTTGGATACACATCCTTCTAGAAGGTTTCCTAGCATGTGTGTGTTGATATGTGTGTATATACGTAAGGAATATTTTTAATTAATAAAAGGTTTATTTACTGAATTATTTTTCTTCTCCTTACACCAAACCATCTTACCTGCCACTAACAAATTAGTCTTTGTAAAAAACATTATTTGCATTACTGTACATAATTTCCCAACTCAGAAATATGTTTTAGTTGTTTCCGTTGTTCACTAAAGCAAAATTAAGTTGCTCAGCCTAACATTCTTCTCTGAAGGATAGAAATAGTGTCTTCTAATTTTTTGGTTTTTCTAATAATGCCTAATGTTATTAGGCATCAAAATATCAAGTTAGTAATTATTTCTCATTGAATTAAAATGGAGATGGGAGGGGAGGATAGGGAGACATTGGTTAACAGATACAAAATTATAGCTAGATAGGAAGAATAAGTTCTAGTGTTCTATAGCATTGTAGGGAAAACGTAGTTAACAATAATTTATTGTATATGTTCAAAAAGCTAGAAGAGAGGATTTTGAATGTTCCCAGCACAAAGAAATGATAAACGTTTGAAGTGATTTATTCATTACCCTGATTTGATCATTAAACTTTGTAGACATATATCGAGAGATCACTCTGTAACCCATAAATATGTAGTTATTACATGTCAAATAAAAATAATGAAGTGATACTTGATACCAAATATTTCCATTTTTTTCCCCTCAGAAAAGGACAAGGTATTTATTCCTTCATATATTATATTGCTGGATAATATATTGACATTGTTCCAGAAAGGATTTAAAATGCCTAGGTATGATATTTGTGACCCTGGCAGGCCATTTATCTCTGTTTGTATTATTTTCCATACTTGTAGCTGCAAAAGTAGTTCTACAAAGACTATTTCTCTTCCATTCTTTAGGTCGACTGAACTAGTGATATGATTTGAACCACTGGTAGAATTCAAACATGAATTAAATGATGGGCTTATCCTTGTTTTAGTATGTATTAAACCTATGAGGACGCAGTGTAGCGCTAGCAATTTAGATGACTGGTGGCCATTTTTCTTAGCTTTTGAAAATGGAAAGTCTCTCTTACTCTTTTTATGTTCAATTCTCAGAGTGAAAATGCTCGTTTGGCACTTTGTGAACATCCTCAGTGGACCCCTGTTGTGGTGATTCTGGGTCTCCTGCAATGCAGTATTCCCCCTGTTCTAAAAGCTGAGCTACTGAAGACACTTGCAGCTTTTGGAAAATCTCCTGAAATCGCTGCTTCCCTCTGGCAGTCATTGGAATACACTCAGGTAGCATTATGAATTCCCTTTCTTATTATTCTAATTTGAAAAGTGAGGCATGATAATACTGTAGAAGCATGAGCATTTGATTGAGACTTATACTACATCATGAACTTCTCAACTAGAGTTACGGTTTGGGGACTGAAAAGCAACGGAAACTAATAAGCTTGGGTTTTTCTCTTGTATCAGTTGATAACTTCATGAGGCTGCTGGAGACTGGTTCTTCATGTACTAGAACTCTCTTAAGATCTTGTTTTTCAATGACTGTAAGATAATACTAGAACAGAATTCTTTTACTCTGTCTTTAGACCGGGCTAATGTAAGCCTTCAGAAGTCATCTGCACTCGTGGGGAAATGTGGGGAATGTCTGTTTTTCTTTTCTGCTCCTTCTGTGTCCTTCCTGCCCCATACCAGAAGAGTGAAGTATCTCTGTATAGCTACATGTGGTCACTGGAGTTGTTTTCCCATTAAAGAGTAGGTCCAACTGTTTGCCATGTTTGCACAGTAATTTTACCAGCAACCAGAAGACTTTTTATTGGTGATCATGAAGGCTTATTGCCAGGACCATAAACTTAACTTTGGGCAAAGTGGGAGTGCAATAGTAGGAATTTTTGACTTCTGCACACTGAGGGAATATACCTGTGCGGACATGGGATGGAAAATAAATGGGTGATTTAATGATTGAGGTCTCAATGACTTCAGAATTATTAACTTTTTCCATCCCTAAATATAAGCTGTCCTAGAAGTTTTCTATCAGGTATAGTTATTCCGTATGTGATAAAGTGAAAAAGAAAAATAAGGATGTGCTTGTAGAAATATCTCTAGGAAAATGGTTAGGTAGAATATTTGTTTGTCTTAGAAGTAATATAACACAAGGGGGCCTGTGATTCTAACTCATTAGTCATAGAAGTAACCATTTTTTAAATTAAAAAAA